AGCAAAAGCCGTACAGGGAACTTGCGAAGCAAACATTACCCAAGGCCGGTGATACTAATAAGTTATCGTTACCATTGCCATAAGTGCTGAAATTATTTAAAAAAAAAATAGATTTTTCGTCTAAGGTTTCAGAAAGAATTACCTCAATAAAGCATTAATTTCTTCAACAATATGCTTTAGTTTGAAATAGGCATCTTGGGGTGGAAGTTTCAACTCCAATACTAAACGATCAATCTAAGCAGCATAATAATTTAAAAAGGTTTATAAACTAACACGAGCACAATGACTGCAAATTACCTTATTAATGCATACTGTAATAGCCATTTTTTCCTGTACCGCATGCTTGAGTAAACGTTCCGTATTTAACATTACACCTTCCGCTGCATCTACAAACAATACAATACCATCACACATACGCATGGCTGCTGTCACTTCATCAGAGAAATTAACATGACCAGGCGTATCGAAAACATTCATTAAAAAGCTTTTTTGTTTGACGTCCTGTAGAACTAACGTAACCGGTGTTGCTTTGATACTGCAACCTCGCTCTTGCTCAGTGAAGAGGGTATCCGTATATCGTAGTGTGCGCTCCTCTGCTTGCTCAAATTGCGGGTGTGTCTGACGTATCAAACAGTCTACAAATGTGGTTTTGCCATGATGCAAATGACCGACTAGTGCCACGTTACGTATAAGGGGTGGTGTATCCATTAGATCAGCCATAAATTCCATATCGTAGGTGGTTTCTGGAAGCTCTTGCTCCTTTATTTGAAATTTGAGCTTTTTAATAGGTTCAATAAGTGGCTTATCCAGCGGTTGTGCATCTTCCTCTTGCACAATGGTTTCCACGTCAGGTCCGTACACTTCTATCGCAGTGGGGTAGTAACGTTTATCTTCGTGCAGAACAACGGCAGTTACTTCCTTATCTTCGTCGTCTTGGTGTTCTTCCTCTTCATCCATGGCGTCCTCCTAATAATCAGTTACTATTAAAATAATGGTATTTTCTTTGAATCGCAAGTCACTTACATCTTGGTCATCCGGCGCGTCTTGCTGTCCGTAAATACTTTGGTCGTCATCTTCATCGCTATCCAGTTCCGGTCCAATATAGTTACCAAATTCATCATATAAATCGAATCCATTTTTTATTCCGAGTACCAAAAGTCTGCACAAAACGTTTATGAAACGTAGGTTCTTAGTGGGTTTGTACGAAAAGGTAACTAGCACAACTAAAAGTTTGATATTTTCACCCGCTAACCAGATAATAATTTCATATATTTATTTTATTTTAGCACTTATTAGTTATAAAGTGTTTAACAAATTTCACTCAAACCATACAATTATCCATAATAAAAATATCACGATTTCCGCGTTTCCCAAATGTCAAATAAGAGGTTCGTTCGCGTAGCTGTTAATTGTTCATGTTTAACCAAAACTTAAGGCCGGTCCACATAGAACTTTCGCGTTGGCTTTGGCGTTGGCGTTGGTTTGACAGAACGCACGTTAAAAGTATGCTTGCTACAATGAACGCTTGGCAGCGAATCCTTGGGCCACTAAATTAACATATTAACGACAGATAAATTAATATTTCATATCAATAATTGCATTAAAAACGATATTTCTTGCCCGCACTTGATTAAAAAGGAAAAATATTTCACATAATTTTATTTATTCGCAACAGCTGACGAGCGACGCACGCGAAAAGTTGAGAGTTGGCCATCTTTTTGCTTTGTGTTGGCGTGAGCGTTGTCGAATTTTGGCTATGTGGGCGGCTGCATTTGAATTCATGTATTCATAGTCAGCTGTTGAAGCGACGCCAACGCCAAAGCAACGCCGTCAAATTTGTTGTGCTTGTTATTCTCAAATCTCAAGGAAAAGTTATGTTTCTTCTCTGTGCCACCGTGATCACGTTTTTATGCTATAAAAATTCCCTGGAATAATTAGCTGATTCCCTATTTTAGCCCTTTCAAATAGAGGCTGAGTTCTAAGTTGCATTAATGCAAAGCATCAGCCTCTTTTATTTGTAAATTATAATTGATGGAAATGTCCAATTTGCCCAACTAAGTTCCAATTCGGCATATGAACGTGGTTGCGCATATGGACTTTTACATCAGTTATAGTTCAGAAATAAAAGAGGCTTTGCGTTAATGTAACTTAAGTTACAATTGGAACTCAGGTAGATTTATTTCGAAATTACAGAAAAGGTGAAGTGCTATTCTTTAACCATGGATTATGCATGTATTTCTTGCTTATCCAATACAACCCTGCGGTTAGCCATTCTTATTTGACATTTGGGAAACGCGGAAATCGTGATATTTTTATTATGGATAATTGTATGGTTTGAGTGAAATTTGTTAAACACTTTATAACTAATAAGTGCTAAAATAAAATAAATATATGAAATTATTATCTGGTTAGCGGGTGAAAATATCAAACTTTTAGTTGTGCTAGTTACCTTTTCGTACAAACCCACTAAGAACCTACGCTTCATAAACGTTTTGTGCAGACTTTTGGTACTCGGAATAAAAAATGGATTCTGATTTATATGATGAATTTGGTAACTATATTGGACCGGAACTGGATAGCGATGAAGATGACGACCAAAGTATTTACGGACAGCAAGACGCGCCGGATGACCAAGATGTAAGTGACTTGCGATTCAAAGAAAATACCATTATTTTAATAGTAACTGATTATTAGGAGGACGCCATGGATGAAGAGGAAGAACACCAAGACGACGAAGATAAGGAAGTAACTGCCGTTGTTCTGCACGAAGATAAACGTTACTACCCCACTGCGATAGAAGTGTACGGACCTGACGTGGAAACCATTGTGCAAGAGGAAGATGCACAACCGCTGGATAAGCCACTTATTGAACCTATTAAAAAGCTCAAATTTCAAATAAAGGAGCAAGAGCTTCCAGAAACCACCTACGATATGGAATTTATGGCAGATCTAATGGATACACCACCCCTTATACGTAACGTGGCACTAGTCGGTCATTTGCATCATGGCAAAACCACATTTGTAGACTGTTTGATACGTCAGACACACCCGCAATTTGAGCAAGCAGAGGAGCGCACACTACGATATACGGATACCCTCTTCACTGAGCAAGAGCGAGGTTGCAGTATCAAAGCAACACCGGTTACGTTAGTTCTACAGGACGTCAAACAAAAAAGCTTTTTAATGAATGTTTTCGATACGCCTGGTCATGTTAATTTCTCTGATGAAGTGACAGCAGCCATGCGTATGTGTGATGGTATTGTATTGTTTGTAGATGCAGCGGAAGGTGTAATGTTAAATACGGAACGTTTACTCAAGCATGCGGTACAGGAAAAAATGGCTATTACAGTATGCATTAATAAGGTAATTTGCAGTCATTGTGCTCGTGTTAGTTTATAAACCTTTTTAAATTATTATGCTGCTTAGATTGATCGTTTAGTATTGGAGTTGAAACTTCCACCCCAAGATGCCTATTTCAAACTAAAGCATATTGTTGAAGAAATTAATGCTTTATTGAGGTAATTCTTTCTGAAACCTTAGACGAAAAATCTATTTTTTTTTTAAATAATTTCAGCACTTATGGCAATGGTAACGATAACTTATTAGTATCACCGGCCNATGCCTATTTCAAACTAAAGCATATTGTTGAAGAAATTAATGCTTTATTGAGGTAATTCTTTCTGAAACCTTAGACGAAAAATTTATTTATTTTTTAATAATTTCAGCACTTATGGCAATGGTAACGATAACTTATTAGTATCACCGGCCTTGGGTAATGTTTGCTTCGCAAGTTCCCTGTACGGCTTTTGCTTCACCTTGAAATCTTTTGCCAAACTTTATGCGGATACCTACGATGGTGTTAACTACATAGAATTTGCTAAACGTTTGTGGGGCGATATGTACTTCCACAGCAAATCGTAAGCTTTATTATAATTAACTGCACATAATTCAATATAAATACTCTTTTTCATGTAGACGAAAATTCACAAAAAAGCCACCACATAACTCTGCACAGCGTAGCTTCGTTGAATTTNGGGGCGATATGTACTTCCACAGCAAATCGTAAGCTTTATTATAATTAACTTCACATAATTCAAAATAAATACTCTTTTTTCATGTAGACGAAAATTCACAAAAAAGCCACCACATAACTCTGCACAGCGTAGCTTCGTTGAATTCATTTTAGAACCCATGTATAAGGTCATCGCCCAAGTAGTTGGTGACGTTGATACTACACTTTCTGATACTCTGGCTGAACTGAATGTGCGAATCACCAAAGAAGAAATGAAATCGAATATACGCCCACTTCTACGTCTTGTGTGCAATCGCTTTATGGGCGATTTTAATGGTTTTGTTGGTATGTGCGTGGAGCATATCAGTTCACCACTGGATAATGCTAAACGCAAAGTAGATCATATTTACACAGGACCTAAGGAAGGTGACATTTACAAAGATATGACCGAGTGTAATCAGAGTGGCACACTTATGGTGCACAGCGCCAAGATGTACCCCACAGACGATTGCACTTTTTTCCAGGTGATGGCGCGTGTCCTTTCGGGAACGCTGCATGCCGGTCAAGAAGTGCGTGTACTAGGTGAAAATTACACACTGCAGGATGAAGAAGATTCACGTGTCTTACAAGTGGGTCGTTTATGGGTATATGAAGCTCGTTACAAAGTGGAACTAAATCGTGTACCGGCCGGTAATTGGGTACTAATTGAGGGTATCGATCAATGCATAGTAAAAACATCTACGATTGTCGATATAAATGCGCCTGAAGATTTATATATTTTCCGCCCATTGAAGTTCAATACACAAAGCATTATTAAAATTGCGGTTGAACCGGTAAACCCTTCAGAACTGCCAAAGATGTTGGATGGCTTACGTAAAGCAAATAAATCATATCCGTTGCTCTCCACACGCGTTGAAGAGTCTGGTGAACATGTTATTTTGGGCACAGGTGAACTATACCTGGATTGTGTTATGCACGATTTACGTAAAATGTATTCTGAAATCGACATAAAAGTAGCTGACCCCGTGGTGGCATTCTGCGAAACCGTAGTAGAAACAAGTTCATTGAAATGTTTTGCCGAAACTCCCAATAAAAAGAACAAGATTACAATGATTTCTGAGCCACTGGAGAAAGGGCTGGCAGAGGATATTGAAAATGAAGTAGTCTCAATTAACTGGAACAAAAAGCGGCTTGGTGAGTTCTTTCAAGTCAACTACGATTGGGATCTGTTGGCAGCTCGCTCAATTTGGGCTTTTGGGCCAGATGCAACTGGACCAAATATTTTAGTTGACGATACACTCCCTTCAGAAGTAGATAAGAACCTTTTGACTTCAGTGAAAGACTCAATAGTGCAAGGTTTTCAGTGGGGCACGCGCGAAGGACCACTTTGTGAGGAACCAATACGTAATGTTAAATTTAAAATTTTAGATGCTGTAATAGCTGGTGAAGCACTGCACCGTGGTGGCGGTCAAGTTATACCCACAGCACGAAGGGTTGCCTACTCGGCATTCCTTATGGCTACACCGCGTTTAATGGAGCCATATTTGTTCGTAGAAGTGCAAGCGCCGGCTGACTGCGTATCGGCTGTGTACACGGTATTGGCGCGAAGAAGGTGAGTGATTAACGCAAGCGCTAGATGTGAGTTTATAATTTAATTTTATTTTATTTTCGTCTTCAGAGGTCATGTGACACAGGATGCACCGGTCTCGGGTTCACCTTTATACATCATAAAAGCATTCATTCCTGCCATAGATTCGTTTGGCTTCGAAACCGATTTGCGTACACATACACAAGGTCAAGCATTTTGTTTGTCAGTGTTTCATCACTGGCAGATTGTGCCTGGCGATCCATTGGATAAATCCATCGTAATAAGACCGCTGGAACCGCAGCAAGCATCACACCTAGCGCGCGAATTTATGATTAAGACAAGACGTCGTAAGGGTCTGTCAGAAGATGTTTCTATTAATAAATTCTTTGATGATCCTATGTTGCTAGAGTTAGCGCGGCAAGATGTGTTGCTCAATTATCCGCTATAAGTTAAAAATATGCATGGAACTTAAAATAAAAAGTTACTATAAAAGTTGGCTTGGGCTTTAAATGGCTTATAATCAGTGTTGCCTTTTATATCCATTTACTTCAAAAGTGATACGAGTTTGTGGAAATTTTCGGAAGATACTATATTTTTTCGCTCATTTCGCGAGATATCTAAATTTTCGGGTAGAACAAATTTTCATACATTACAAAGAGAAAATATATACATACATATGTATGCGGCAGCTTTTAAAATTTGATCGAAAATATTAAATGTTTGTGGCCAAATAAGCTTAAAGAAAAATGCTTTAAACGAACTATGTATAATGAGCTAACTGCATTCATTTTTAATTTACTTGGCTTGCCTCATAAATAGCTCTGCGGCTGCAATTTTAAGATTGATCCAATATAAAAGAGAAATAGACTTTCATTACAAACTGTTGAGAATATAACGGGGCGTGTGCATAGTCAAAATAAAGTCGACACTGAAGGTGTTTTCTTCTTTTGACATAATTTCCAACGAGGTTAACTTGGAATGTATCACATAATTTGATTATCAACGTAAAAGAAGGAAAGTTAAAAGTTTTACATACACTAGTATCGCCCGACTAGTTGTCGAAATTCCAAATTTTTTCATACACTTTTAAATTTTGCTTATCACCAATATTGAACGGGACCAAAAACCTCTCCCGGTACTCCCGATAAAACCGTAACCTCCGAAAATTAAGTAAATCTTCCTTAAAAAATTTTTATGAAAAATTACCCTTTTATGTTTTATTGAGACGAAATCGAACAGCAAAGCAAAACAAAATAATCGGAGGATGCAAGATCTTTCATACAATTTATTTTATTCAAAATTAATTTGCAAGACTTGTGAATTTTTTTAGAGATAGATTTCGGGGCCCCCGGGCCCGCGGTACAATTCTGAAAAACGTCGGGATGAGCGGGTTCGGAAATCAAAAATTGAATTTCGGGACGGCCGGGATCGGGACTTAATATTTAGTCCCATGCCCATCTCTACTCTCAATCCCTGCGCCACCTAACGGCAGACAAACACACTGATCCAACAATCATTCAGTGCGATTTAGAAATCTGGTAGAAAATGGTTCCAATTGAATGATTCTTGCCATTTTATATTATAGATGGCGGTGTATTAAATTCCACTACCTTATCATAAGTGGTTCCAGATATAAGCGATATGGAAATTGCATTTCGGTTCGGTAATGATAACATATGCAGCTGCGTACGATTTCAGCACGTCTGCATAAGCGGATACACAGATAAGCGAAATGAGAAGTTCAGCTTGCATGGGAGGTGCCTCGCCCCCTTTTTCAATACCTACCACCTTTCGCCATAAGTACGGTATTGATAGCATATGTGGCTGTGTCAAATTTCAGGACGTTGGCATTAGCAGTTTCAGAGATAAGTGATAAGAGAATTTCAGTTTGTATGGGGCGGTGCCACGCCCCTTTTCCATTCTCTACCACTTTTCATGGGAAGACCGGCATTGATAGCATAGTTTCTGTTTAAAATTTCAGAACGGTAGCATAAGCGGTTCCAGAGATAAGCGATATGAGAATTTCAGTTTGTATGAGGGTGCCACGCCCCCTTTTCCAAAATCTACCAATTTTCGCCGTAAGTACGGTATCGGTACGGTAAGTGGTTCCACAGATAAGCGATATGAGAATTACAGTTTGTATGGGAAGTGCCACGCCCACTTTTCCAGTACTTACCATTTTTCACCGTAAGTAGGGTATTTACAATCTATGCATGTGTGCTTAGTTTCAGTTCTCCAGCATAATTGGTTTTAGAGATTAGTGGTTTTCACATTTTAGTCTATATGCCAGATGCCACGCCCCTTTGTATCGGGATTAACATTTCTGGATTAGAGGAAGTTATATCCCTTAAATCGGTGTATGTTTCATTGAAATCGGGAGAACGGTGCCTTTACAAAAGGGATTGCAAATTTTTCTTGTGGCGTATTTATATATAAAAGATATATTTGTATTCAAGTTCCTATCACTGTTTCTAAGATATTTTTCTACATGTACTTACATATGTATGTGTATGAATGTGCACTACATGATTTTTAGTATTGACAACAATAAATAGCAAAGGTATGAAACCAAATAGCATATTATAGGTTTTTTCTAACTTGATACTTCGATTCTTAAAAAAAAAATAGTGACACATTTGATTAATTTTTTATTTTTTTTACGATACATTTTTCATGACGTCGCGGCATCACTGTTTACAAGGCAAAGCAAACTTACAAAAAGCTCACGTTCAATCGAGGCAGCTTAAAGAGCTTTTGGAACTTGAAACTGAACGAATTTGTTGCGGAGTAATTTACGGCAGATTTCGCTACTGGATTTTTTTTTTTGCGAACAATCAAAATGTGTAATTACATACCAGCCCATTTTTCTTTTTATTTATAAAATCGTTTAAAATATTTAGGCAAAAAAAAAGCTCCTCAGAATTCACGATATGTTCACCTTTTATCGGTATATGTACATAAACAAAAGTGTGCACTAAAGCGTTCGAAAATTAATGCAATAAAGAAGACTACACTTTTGGAGAGAAATTTATAACAAAAAGATAACTATGAAAAATTAACGGGAAAGAAAAGTTTTATTTGCTAGTCAAGAAAAATACTTCAACAAAAATCTACCAAGATGAACAAAAATTTGCCTTTTTACCAACCCAAATTTTGTCTACCAATTTAGGTAATAATTTAAAGAAAGTGGCAACTCTGCTCAATCAGCTTTCGGGTGTGCATCTCGATCGAACACATAGTGGCCTAGCGTGGCGTTCGCTTACGCTCAGTTTTCAGCGAGGGTGATCAAACAGGCTCGATCATACTCAAAGCAGCTCTATGCTCCCTACCCATTGCGAAGGAAATAACAACGAAGTCTCTTGCCGCGAAATCACCCACAATCTACATACAGCGAAGAGGTCAGGTTCTAAAGAAAGACTACGACACCTGGTCAAGCTGGTGCAGAGTAAGCTAACTTTCCACATGGAGAGGATTGAATCGAATATTGCAGATACATGGTCAGACAACCGATACTATCTGCGCAACTGTGCACATCTCTTCACGTGATCTACGTACCCTGGACTCAACCAAGGTAAGCAATCGGTTCTACGTTCCCACGACAATCGGCTTTACGTAACCGGAACGACTCACATCTATATATTCTGGCAAAGGACTATCACTCCAGCTTGTTATGACAACAATAACAGCGGGTTCCACGTACCTAAATGACTCGGTTTTACTCTGACCATGTTTAGAGGTCGACGAACCCCTCCGTTGCTCGTTCTTGGAGCAACGCCTTGCAGCTCATTTGGTCTGCACTCTTTTAAATCGGGCTGACATCAGGTGCAAGCCAGAACCAGAAACTCTCTTCTGCTGAGACGGCTCCATCAGGACACTACTTTGATTAGGTGCAGTGGAAGGGCACATCTAAAGACCTGTTCTAGCCTTAGGTCACATAGTGTGAACCCCAACCTTCGTTTCGCTCCGATTATGGTATGAAGACTAATCAGCAACTCTTGGTGCTTCTCGCTGTCTGTTCCGTGTATCACACCAGGATTTTGCGAAATCAGCAAAGAGTAACTTTACCCTGGCTAGTACTTTTGGGCAAATTCTGACCGGTGCTCTCCACGGTGAATGGACAAGTGCGTACATTGCTACATCTTGTAAAGCTCTTCGGCCGTAATCGATGTAGTTGTAGCGGATCCTACAACCCTGCCTAGATCGGCCTGTCCCTCAATCGTTGTCGTCAAGCTCAACTAACGGAAGACCCAGAAAGCGTGCTGCTTCTATTGGGTTTGTCCATAATGGCAGAGATGTTAGCTGAGTGGGGTGTCTCTCCGTTGGGCACATCTGCCTCTAATATGCTCAGGTACGAGCTTAACCTGCTGCAGTAGCCAGAGCGAAGTCGGGCTAATGTGGTTCGAATTTCACGAGGTATACGAAGCTTTGTATCATCCACGCCAGGTGGTTGTGTTCCCAAAACGGCATTCACAGGTCGAGAGCCAGTGTAGGTCAATACTGACTCCCTATAAATGGCGTTTATGGCCTGTCGGGTGCAGAGGTTCCTCTGGACTTCGCCCGCCAGTTCATATAGTTGCCTTCTGACGTGCCTTGACGAAAGCTCCGCCGCAAGCGGGCGTCTGTTCAGGAGCCCCCGTTGGTCACACCCTACTAGGAAATACTTGCAGAGCATTGTGTTATATTCCCTGACGGGGAGCATTTCAGCCTCGTGGTGTAGATGGTGTTGTAGCGACAACAGAAGGCATCTGGTCACTGTCTGGATTGCCGTATTTAAGCAAGTGTGTAGCTTCGTCCACATCGTCCTAATAGTCCTTAGGCCACACGGGCACTGCATAGTTTAGAACCGGCCAGCCAATGGCCTTGTACGTTGCTAACAACGTTTCTTTGCCTTTGCCCCAGGTACTGCCGGCTAGCGGATTGAGGACCTTGTTGCGGCTCTGCACTCTATTGATAATGCGGTTGTATGCACCGATAAGGAGAGCATACTGTCGAAGGTAATTTAGAGGATTTTCGGGTTATTCGCCGTCGGAATTTGTACGCCATCGACGTGAACTCCCAGCTGTAGTCTGACCTCCTTCCTCCAGGTGGTAAAAAGGGTTGCCGAGGATTTTGTAAGGGAGAGGGTTAGGCTGCTTGCAGTGAAGAAGCGAGAAAGTTCCGAAAGGTAATCGTTTACTTTCGTGCAATTCCATGCCCAGATGCCATTTTCGAGGCAGGTGAGGAAACTTCGATATATAGTGTGTAATTGACCAGTACCGGGGAAGTGACAGCACCCTTTGGGACCCCTGTTTAATTTTTCTTGGCTTGCTAGTTTCCTCTCTAAACCTCTCTGGCCACCGTTTGAGTCCCTATGGGAGAGCGGAAGACGCCATGTCTTATAGTATTGCGTAGTGGCTGACGGTATCGAACGTCATTTACAGATCCAACCCTATTAGGATTGTTCTCTCACAAGTTATCTGGGAGTTCAGCCGTAATCGTCATCAGCGACGCTGCTATAATCAACACCACAAGGAAGCCGCCTCAACGGCTTAAAGTACCCCCAAGACTGTAGGCAAAGTCGCTTTTGTCTCACACTCCAAATCTCAAACAACAACGAATTTCATGGGTGGGCATAGAATATTGATAGCGGCTATCTGGGGACAGGTGAAAACTTTGATGTTGTAGTTGGCTTTAACACGTTCTACGATTCAGCTTTCGAGCCTCCGCAGCTAGACGATTTATCTTTTATATCAATGGCAAGCGCAGGTCTGATAAATAGCATAACGTGACGACATATGCTATCGTTAGACAAATCCGACGTAGATCGAAATAGTAGACATTTCATTCGAGAATCACATTTTGTTGGACACGTATCATTAAATTAGCCTCCGCAGCCAGCAATCTATGTATACTGCATCTACGCATTGAGATGGATATCGAGGAAGGTAAAAGGCTCCAAAGCCATTGATATCGACGGAATATGCATATTGATGGTGAAAAAGGTTGCGAAGCCGGGAGTAGACTCCTTTAGGCATGGGATCAATGTCAAGCATTTTTGCCCAAGAAACCATAGGTCTGAAATGAATTTCGAGCCAGCGATTTTTTTACCTCTTTTTTTTTCAAAAAAGTGGCTCACCTGTTGAAACAGACGAATTGAAAACTAGCCAAAATGTGTTTCTGGGGGTTTTTGGAGTTGAGGAATCCATTTAAGGCATTAATTTTTTCTTTTGAAAAAAAAAATAATAAAAAAAAAAACAAATTTCTAAATACACAAATAAAAAAAATTTCAACGCTGAACATTTTAGGCTATTTAAAAATTGAAGTTTCATTACGAGAAAGTCAAATTTCGTGGTTTTTCGCAACAATGTTGTCCATTTTCGGAAAAAGGCCTTAAAAGTCCAAGAAAAAGTACGGAGGCGCCGCCTGCCGGCCCTCAAAAGAAAAACTTAATGCCATAAATGGATTCTTAGACCACAAAAACCCCCAGACACACATTTTGGCTAATTTTTAATACAGCTGTTTAAACAGGTTGAGTCACTTTTTGAAAAAAAACTAGATTGAAAAAATCGCTGGCTCGAAATTCATTTAGGACCTATGGTTTCTTGGGAAAAAATGCTTGAAATTACCCATATAATCATAATCGCGATGTGCCTGTTATTTATTTTTTGGCCCCTACATATCGACCCGCCCTAATGTATAGGTATGTGAGTATAGTGCCGCAATAAAATTCTCAAATCTCTCGTTGGCGCAACTCGGTACAAATAAAATAAAACCCTGTTGTTGGTAGACTAGTGTGGGATGTCCTCTGATGACGCCAGAATACCATTTGCATGGACTTCGGCCGGAAAATAATATTTGCCTGTATCTATAACATCGCAAGATTTTGGTTATCTTGACCTCGCAGCTGTCGAAGAGACGCCAGAAAAAATATCGAACTCTTACCTGCGCTTGGAGGATATCCTCGCAAGTATTTATAAGGTAACCATTATGAATGCGGAAAGAAGGAAATTCTTATACTTCAACCTTTTTCTTTAATGCACAAACTTTTACTTATACCTTAGACTTGGGAGGATATCCTTCATTTTACGTAACTGACATAACTTCCATGGGCCCTTGGGGCGAGATTGAGCGTTTTTGAACTGGCTGCCGAGATAGGTCGATCGTCCACTCAGGTGTTGATATGTATTTTTAATTTTTTTCTTGTAAAAAACATTTCAATTTTATTTTTAATTTTCTTTTTTATTCTACAAGCTTCCGGCTTAACAAATCTTTATATTCAAGCTGAATTTTTGAATGAACCACAGCAGAAATATGTAGTTAATACTCTACTAATAGGCGAATTGGCTATCGACACGTGGCAATTTCTCCTCGTGACTCACTACATGCCACCATTTTGTATGGAATTTTCTTCGTATGCGTTGTGTTCGTCATCGAATTCGACATCGTCATCGACGACAGCCTCCTGTGAAATAAAAAGAAATAAAAAAATAGTGGTAACATTCAAATGCTCGTTCGGAATAGCAGCTACAACTGTAAAATCATTCGCAATCGTAATGTTAGCAGGCACAAAGTAAAGATCCACCATGGTCTGGGCTAACAACCAACAATCACAAGCAATTTTTAATTAAAAGCAATAAATTTTCGCATCCGTTTATACACATTCGTTTCCACGTTTCCATAAACATAAACATGCAGGAGCAAAATACCAATATCAACTTCCTCATAACATTCACATTCATACACATATACACCTATGTATGTGCATCCGTTGGCAGAAGTGCACATTTTGTACCTGATACTGTTGATATTCCGAAATCAAATCGTGCATATTCGATTCAGCTTCGGTAAATTCCATTTCGTCCATGCCCTCACCGGTGTACCAATGCAGGAACGCCTTGCGCCGGAACATGGCTGTAAATTGCTCCGCTATACGCTTGAAGATCTCCTGTATGGCTGTGCTATTTCCGATGAATGTGGCGGACATTTTGAGGCCACGTGGTGGTATATCACAAACGGCCACCTTTACATTATTCGGTATCCATTCAACAAAGTAGCTGCTGTTCTTGCTTTGTACGTTTAACATTTGCGTATCGACCTCCTTCATCGACATCCGACCTAAAAAAAGAGTAGCAGCATAATTTCAATAATGAGATATGGCAAGTGAGTGGTAATATTGAATAGGTTTTGTTTTTCTTAATATAATTCACATTTTATTTGTTAATTGACGGCTAGAAATGTTAGTTTAAGTTGGGTTAAATTCAAATTAAGCGAAAAAAAAATCGAGCGGTGACTTTTGAAGATTACTGAGCTGCGCGTTCAAAAACAAAAGTTTCGTTAGCGGCTAATGTCGCGAAAGCTAGGCAGCTCAGGAGCATATGGTGAAGATGATGACACTTCATCATCCCTGATGAGGAGATGTTGAGCCTAACCGTCTGGGTTTTAAACGGACTATGAGTAGTTGATAATGCTAACAGTAACGAGAGCTATCGTGTTTTTTTTAGCAAGCTTCAGGAGCTTCTTAGAGCCCTTCTTAGAAATACTTAGTCACCTTGCCCACGTATCCAGGTGAAGACCACCTATGCAATTCCGATACTCAGCCAATACCCGCCGCAAAATGGATTTGCTGAACGATAAATAAAGGTATGCCCTACAATAGCAATACTTTACTGCCGCATTTTACCTAAATATTACATAATTCGAAATCAACAGAAAGCGATTTTTAAAGGTGACGGTGGGCATTTGAAATTTTCCATGTAAATAATATGACAATTTTTTCATTAAAAATGCCGTAACTATTGAACTGTTTGAGATAAAAAATTTGTCTAGGCATATTCTTGCAAATGGTAAAAAAAAAAATCCAAATGGCAGAATTTTCTTCTCAGTAAATAGCTCCTTCTAAGGCAATAACTTCGTTAGGTTAGTTTATTTGGATCACCTTAATTTACATACATTATTTCTGTTTTATGATTTTATATGTAAAAAAAAATTCAATAAGTTGTACCTAAAACTTGCAAGTTTTTGCTAATTTTGCGCTCGCGTACTTTTTGGAATATCTTCCAAATTGAGATAGAATCGTTCGTTACTCTCCTGCAAATTTATGTTGGATATTTTTCACGCGAGATCTATTCGAACAGACTAAGAGCCAACTTACACCATGACTTTTCACCCTGGGTGGTCTCGCTTTTATCGAGTTCACTTTTTCGTATTTTTGCTTTGAGTTCGCGATTCGCTCCGCTTTAGAAATGAGGACGAAAGAGTTGACCAAAGAAGATTTTACTCTTAAATGTCAAAAATACGCAAGAAACGGCGCAAAGAAAAAGTCATCGTGTAAATGCACGAGGACTTTTTTAAAAGAGAAAGTGCCAAAAACGCAGGGTGAAAAGTCGTCGAGTAAATTGGCTCTAATAGTTGGCTGCTACAACGCACGTACAAACAGCTGGTATTACGAAGACTGACAAATCGCTGCTACAGACGAATACGCAGCATATCAAGAAGGGAAGAGGGATATATTCTCAAGAGGAAGAAAATAATGAGAAAAAAGAAAGACAGAAAGGCGTGAGGGCGAAGAGCTTGAAATACATGTTCAAAAATTCTGTCAGAAAATAAGACAACAGTAAAACGGTTCCAAGACTGGAACTAGTTCTTGCGAAGGTGTAGATGAGAATTTGGGAACAGACGGGCGCACTTGAGTCAAGAAGAGATCACTTCTTAACGCTTTTGAATGGTGGCACAGATAGTTTTTGATGAAGGAGAACCTAGACCAATGTACAGAGATGAAGCTTACGTTCCTTCAACACACCAAGACGAAGTGAAAGTAATGAAGAAATAAAGAAACTTAAGAACAACAAATCCCTTGGAGCCAATTGAACTGTTCGCAGACTTTGTCAAACTAGGGGGTCCAGCCTTAGCAGAAACAATATTGCCACCCTTAGAATAATTCTTTCCAGCAGATGCTACTTTAAGCTCGGAAGAAAGCAGAGCCATGTCGATGACGAACCAAACCATGTTCCACAAGAAAAAATAATTCTTGGTTCGCGTGGGTGGTAATTATCCAACACGATTGGATGATTGGAGCAAAGTTACGATTGCGCTAGGTTGGTCATGTCGTTACGTATGGATAATCACCATGGCGCCCATTAACACAATCGAAGAATCAATTGCGGAAAAACCTGTTCACACCGGGCGTGAATAACTTGCGTAGCTTTGCAAAAGAGTGTGATAATTAGCCAAGTTAGTTTTTTGATCTCGGCCTAAACCGACAAATGGTTGGAGTGTCAAATAAGAAGTAGAAGACTAGTTAGACCCTTGACTTGACGTTCCTTGGTGAGGGTACGAGTAAAGAGTTATTCTTTACCGGTCGTCTCAAATTGGATAGTTGCGTCTGCAGTAAAATTGGTGAATATACGAGAATGGCGCAACGTTTGAATTAACGAACACTCAATTTGGACTCGTTTCTCAGTTTTGTGAATAAACAATAAAAAACAGATTAGACAAACTCGACCAAAACAGCATGGCACTCACATGCTTTCAATCCTATACAAGATGATTCGTCTGTCGATTCTAAAATAATAAGTGATACTAATATTTTAGTGCTTACACTTTGCTAAGTGTTTGGCCGAGCTTCTCCTTCAATTTGTGGTATGCTTGTTGGTGTTGTTACACAAATTTAGGGAGCTACAGTTTAACGCCCCCTCCGAACGGCAAATGGATTTTACGAGAAGCTTTTTCATGACAGAAATAGACTCGGAGGTTTGCCATTGCTAGGCTACGCTAAAATGCTCGCCAGGGATGTAACGCTGCAAATAAAGATTCATAATTGCCTAAGTATATCCAAACAGTTATTAAGCGAAGCGCACATTAGCGCGATTCCATCGTTGCGAATAAGTTGCGAATTCGGCTGTTAACTTCGAATCCGCAATCGTGCGCACACTTGAGCGATTTTTTCGAGTCGATTTCCGATGTACAATTCACTCAATTTTCCCTTTATTTCGTGTATTTTCGCACTCGGTGTGCCCAAATCGTACAAAATACTATTATTACGAACGTTTTTATTAGTTTTTGTACATTACACGTTTTTTTTTCTTTGCCTTTATTGCTGTGACACCTTTCTTCTTCTTCTTTGACGCCTTCAAAACGCTGCAAGCCGCGTTTCGAACGCGTCAATAGAGAGGAACATTGAATGTTCGAAAAATTCGCAGCGACGGAATCGTGCAAGTGTGCGCTAGCGCATTAAAATGTATGGGTAGCATTGTTGTAATTTTTGGGCTTGCGGATTCGCAACGACAGAATCGCGCCAATGTGCGCTTCGCTTTATTCGACTTTAAAACATATTTTTATTTTATCTTATTACTTCGAACGAGCAATTCTTGTATATGTGTATAAATTTATAGGTTTCTCGGAAACGACGCTAACAGTTGATTGAAATTTTGTATGTCTTGCGTACAAGGTTGACATCTATTCCAAACAAAAAGTATTTGTAACAAGTAATTTTTAGCAAAAAAATTCCGACTTAAAAAAATATATATATATCTATATATTTCATGATCCAATGATCGGATCTAAACCAAATTAGTATGGGACCACCTCTGAGACACTACCTTTCCGTTGCAAAAAGAATTATGTAAATCGGTTGACGTGGTGCAAAGTTATGCGGTAACATACATGAAAAAAAGAATATTCCGACGAACTGATAACCTCCTCCTTTTTTTGAAGTCGGTTAAAAACAAATACTAATTCAGGAATATTTTTTAATAGGGTTCCCACTTAGGTTGCCACTTATTTTCTATTCCAAAAAATTTAACTAAAATAAATTCATATGCATATGAAATGAAAGATATTTTTGAGTGCCAAGTGTAATACCAATTTGTATCTTACTAATTTCAATGAGCATTTTTTAATGTAGGTACTAGGGATGTTAATTTTTCAGCTTTTTCCGATCCCGAGATTTTCGGGATGTCGTCATCCCAATCCTAGGAAGCTCTCCTACCATAAAATAAATAATAAATAAATGTGTTTGAAACCTTCTTTTTTATTCAAAGCGGCGTTTTTATTTTTTCTCTCTGATGTCAGGATTTATTTTAAAGGACCTTGTAATTTCAAAGATATGATTAATTCCAAAAATTATTTAAAAAATTCAATGCAATGTAGAATAAAAATATGGATACCAAACGCAAGAGAAAATTTCTCTAGAATTTAAAAGAAAAATTAAAATTTTTTGGAATGAATTTTTTAAATCAATTTTAAATTACTGACGTCAGAGTGAAAATACTACAGTGTTATATGTATAATAAGCTAGACATTCATAAAAAATATTAATTATTGAATAAAAAAAGAAATATAGCCAATACTGTTCAAGAAAATGAGTTTCTATTATTGCCATCCGTGCAAATTACAAATCCCGATTTTTGGGACCTTAAAAAGGCCGGGATTAACATTCCTAGTAGGTACATATCGTACCTACATATAGAAAGGCTCTAACTCATATAGTCGTTGAAATGCAACAAATCCGTAGCTTACTAGGTAAAATTTTTGTATTGCTTAAAATGGTGTGCGGACTTAAAATTCGATGAAATGCATCTTAATAAATCAAAAAAGGAATTTTGGTTTTTAACTTAAATAGTTGCGGCTTTTTCTATTTTAGCGACAATGTGAGATAGGGCCTTTCTATATTAAGGTAACGATACGAAGGTATTACAAAAAAAAAAAAAACAGCGTTGATTCTCACAAAAACATATTTGCAATTCCCTAATTTTAAATTGCTGCTGTTGTCACCTTTTCCACCGCCATTTCACAGCGTTGTGCAGCAAAAAAATATAAATAAATAAATACATTTGGCAAACATCTAAATACCTGCCGCCACGTGCATTTCGTTTCTATGCTTCCAGTTCCCGCCCATCCTTTGAGACGCGTTTAATGTCTTATTCAGCGAGCGATTTGTCTACGTTTTGGCTTTTTGACATGGCAACGTGCGCTGCCCTTTGACAAGCATCCGCACCTAATTCATTCAGTTTATGTAAGTTTGTAACCTACAGTCTTAGCTCAGCTCATCTGTGTTAAGCTCAAGTCAGCTTGGCTCAGCGTTCGTAAAATTTTACTATCGTCGACAAAAGACAAATGAAATGTTGCTTTGCGTCATGCAAATCTCTGAAGTCAA